GCCCCCCTCTTGCTCCCGCCTCCCTGCCGTTCATGCTGCCGCGCCTCACCCTCCGCTCTGCCCCGCTGCCTGCCTGCCCTCCTCCTCCTGCCCTCCCTCTGCAGAACCATGAGGTGGTGATTACCACCCTTCACCAGATCCTGAAAGACGCCATGGCCCAGCAGGGCGGCCCCACCCCGGGCTCCTCCTTTGGCGCCGGCGGCGAGCCCACCGCCGCCGCCGCCGCCTTTGTGGCCGCGCAGCTGGCCGGCGGCGCCAGCGGCGGCAGCAGCGCGGCCTGGGCCGGCGGTTCCCCAGACAATGCCAGCTACAGCTTTGGCTCCTCGGGTGTGCTTGGGGGCGGCAGCCGTTGCGAGGGCCGGGGCGCGCAGCCGCCCATACCGTGCCTGTGCCACTGCGCTCCCGTGCTGCCCCCTCCTGTGCTGCCCGATCGCTGCCCATACCGCACCCTGCACCTCTACGCTTCGCCACGCTTCGCCTCACGGTCACATGCGCGCCTGCCTCGTGTTCTGCTGCTGCTGCCGCTGCTGCAGGCGCCTCCATGTCTGCTGGATCGCAGGCCCAGTTCCCGCCCAGCCCGCAGGCCGGCAATGTGGGCTCCCAGGGGGAGGCCGCCGCCGCGGCCGCCGCCGCCGTCGCGGGCCGCGACGCCGGCGGCGGCGCCAGGGCGTCGCCGGGGCAGCAGCAGCAGCAGGACGGCGGCAGCGGCGGCGCCGCGCTTTCCTCCTCGCCCGGTGCCATGGCGTGCTATCAGGCGGCCATGGTGGCGGCGGCTGGGGGCTACCCTGGTGTGATGCTGCCAGCGGCGCCGCAGCGCCCCGCCAGCCCCGGCAGCCCCGGCGATGCGGGCCAGGCGGCGGCGGCGCTAGCGCTGGAGGGCGAGGATGAGGGCAACATCTGAGGCCGCCGCTCGCCCCCGTGCCGCCGGGTGGGGCAGCAGCATGCGACGTGTGGATTTCCCCCTCGCCGCCTGCCCCTTGCCAGGCCCGCCCCGCCAAGTTTTTCCCTTCAAGCTCCCAAGACTGATCGTCTCCCCTCCAGCCAAACCCCATTCTTCTTTGTCTCCTTTCTATCCATCCAATCAGGCGCCATTTCTTCCACTCCCCTGGCAGCAGCACAGGCACCAGCTGCCCTGCAGGCGAGGGGCCGCGCCGCCTGCCCCCCTGGCGCCGCAGGCTGGCGCCCCCCTCCCCGCACCAAAACAACCCTTCTTCTGGCCCCCCCAGCCCCGCCTCACCTGCACATCAACACTCACGAATGCATGAGTACTCCTTACTTCAGCACTGACCCGACCGTCCCCCCATCCCATCCCTCCACCGCCCCCCACGCTGCCGGGCACCCAACAGCTGCGGGGCCTCCCCCCTCCTTGCCGCCGCTGCTCCCTCCCCCTTTTTTGCCCGGGTTAACCCTACGTTTGCGTGATAGCGCAGCGCGGCGGCTCGTGCCCGCCGCGGGGCTCGCCCGTTGCTGCTGCGCCAACAGCCACAGTGCTACCCTTATTTGCCTTCCTGCCTGCCTTCACCCATTTTTTAGCAGAAATTTAGAAGCCGGGCCTTAGTGCCGCACCACAGACTGCTTGCCCCTGTGCTGCTGTTGATCGCGCCGCCGTTCAGCCACCTGCCCTTCTTTTCTTGCCTCCGCCGCGCCCCACACCCCCCAAGGTGGACTGCACGCCCTCTGCCCCTCTGGCGCCGCTGTCCCCTGCACCCCCCACCCAGTCGCACCCCCCCACATACTCACGCCTCACCCT